AAAACACCTTTGAATGATCAGTGGGTCAATGAAGAAATCAGGGAGGAAGTTTTAGGATTCCTAGAATCAAATGAAAATGAAAACACAAAATACAAAAACCTGTGAAATACAATACAAAGTGGTTCTAAAAGGGAAACCTGTAACTATAAATGCCTACATTAAAAAATCAGAGATCTCAAATAACATAATGATATACCCAAAGTCATAAAAATCCTCAATAAAATACTTGTAAACCAAATTCAGCAACACATTAAAAGCATCATACATAATGATCACGTTAGATTCATTCAGGAATGTAAGGATGAATCAATATATGCAGACCAATAAATGTAATACAGCATATAAACAGAATCAGAAACAAGAATCAAATAATCATCTCAACAGATGCAAAAAAAAAAAAGGCTTCTACAAAATCCAATGTCCTGTCATATATAACCTTGAAGAAACTAGGAACAGAAGGACATACCACAATATAATAAAGACTGTATATGTTAGACCTATAACCAACATTAAACTAAATGGGGAAAATTTGAAAGCATTTATTCTAAAATCAGGAGAGACAAATTTGTCCACTATTGCCACTCATTCAATGTGCTTGAATCTTAGAATAATAAAGCAAAAGAAGAAAATAAAAGGGATACATGTAAGGGAAGAATGAAGCCCAATTCCTGTTAGCAGATGATATGACCCTGCACTTAAAAGACCAAAAGCCTCCACCACAATACTCTTAGATCTGATAAACACTTTCAGCAAAGTAGCAGAAAACAAAATCAACATACAAAACATGTAAATTTTCTGTACACCCAATGAGCTTGCTGAAAAAGAAATCCAGAGAATAATCCCATTGACAGTAGCTTCAAGGAAATAAAATACCTAGGCATAAGTTTAAGAAAAGACGTTACTGACCTCTACAGCAAAACTATACAACACTGAAGAAAGAATTGTAGAAGAAATTATGAGATGGAAAGACTTCCTATGTTCATGGATCAACAGAATTAATATTCTTAAAATGGTCAAATTACCAAAAGTGATACACAGATTCATTGCAATCCCCATTAAAATTTCAATGACGTTCTTCACAAAAATTGTGAAAATAATCCCAATATTCATACAGAAACAACAAAATACCCCAAATAGCCAAAGCCATGAGGAAAAAAGAACAAGTGAAGATTTCACAATATACTAGAAAATATACTACAGAGGGAGGGTACAAAACCAGCTTGGTACTGGCACATGCACACACGCATGCACGCGTGCGCGCGCACACACACACACACACACAAAGCAGATCATAGACTAATAGAATTGAAGAAAATTAAAATAAGGCTAAGCAACTACACCCATTTAATTCTTAAGAAAGGTGACAAAAACATACATGTGGTGCTGGGAAAACTGGATATCCACGTGTAGAAAACTGGAACTAAATTCCTGTCTCACCCTGTACAAAAGTCAACTCAAAATGAATCAAAGACTGACCTTAACATAAGATCTGAAACTTTAGAGGTAAACACAGGGGAAACACTTAAAAATGTAGATATAGGCAATGACTTAAAGAAGAGCAAATAATCCAATCAGTAAATGAGCAATTGAACTGAACCCACTTTTCAAATGATGATGTACAAATACCTAATAGATATGTGAAAAACATTCAAAAGCCTTAGCCATAAAAGCCAAAGCTACACTGAGGTCACCTCATTCCAGTAAGAATGGCTATCATTAAGAAAACAAATGCTAGTGAGGATGTGGGTGAAAGGGAACCCTTGTTCACTACTGGAGAGAATGTAAATTAGACTAACCACTATGGAAATTAGTATAAAGGGTCCTCAGAAATCTAAAAGTAGAATAGCACATGATACAGATGTTCAAAAGAATCAAATAAGCTTACTGTGGAGATACCTGCATACGCATGTTTATTACACCACTACTCACAATAGCCAAATTAGAAGCAGCCTTGGTGCTGATAAGCAGATGACTAGATAGATACATGTATACATATAAAAGAGTTTTACTCGGCCATAAAGAAGAATGAAATTGTGTCATTTGCAGGAAACTGGATGAAACTGCAGATCATAAGTGAAATAAGCTAGTCCATAAACTCAAGTCTCACATGTTTTCTCTTATAGGTGGAACCTAAAGATGTGAAAGGGGAAGAGGAAATGGGGGTATGAGAAAAGATAAAGAGTAGTAGAGGGTGAATATAATCAAAATATATTATATGCCTGCATGAAATGGCATAAAATGAAATCCTTTACACAATTAATATATAGCAATAAAAGTAACATGGTGATCACTAGGAAGCAAAATACAGGCTCACTGAAAAGCTTAGCAGACTAGCTTTCTGATACATATTGATAATAGGACTACAAATAATTTTATTAAATTTTTAGATAGAAATCTGTAGTGGGTATACTGTTAGGTAAATGTAACTAGCTTTCTTATCTATGAAGTTGACCCTACCTTGAAAGGTATCATTTAGTGGAATGCTTCTATGTTTTCTTCTTTGACTTTATGTTCTTATGATTTTACTAAAGCATCCTGTCAGGGTTGCTTATTAAATGTACATATGACATGATACTTGGATGCACAGCTGACACCACAAATGAAGTTTCAGGGTACAAAATAATCTTGACCAACTTAAGTGCTAGAATGGAGTAAATGAATTTTTCTGCATTAAGAGTCAATTGTACAGACACAGAATTATCGAGGCTTGCTTGGAAGCAGGATGTATGATTAAAGATTATAAGCAAATAGTTTGATGTGACTTCAAAAAGTACTAGTTTATTCATAGACTATAGTAATAAAATGTGTGCTTCAGATCAAAGGGTCACAGTATACTCTGAAATAGTCAAAAGTTAGGCCCCTTTCTGCCTCTCACATCTTAAGATGCTTACAAGCTAAAGTATGTCATAAGGAGCCAAGTAAAAGTAATAACAAGAACTGAACTTTTACTGTGCATTTCCATGAGCAAATAAATACTGTTTTGAATGTTTGGTATGTCCTTGCAGCAATCCTATAAATTAGAACCTATGTTAGTCCTAAATTGCAGATGAGGAAGCTGAGGCACAGAGAAGTTATGTAACTTGTTCAAGGTCATACAGATACATTACTTATGAAGGATTATCCTATGATTTGTGTCTGTACTGAATGTTTAGCATAGAGATAATATGCTGTATTCAACCAGATACAGAAAAACATTTTTTCAATGTTAATACACAGGGATAGACGAGAATAGACATGTCTTTGATCAAACAGGCTGAAGTGGAAAGTAATAATCTCTTATCTTTCAGAAGAGTATCAAAAAGACTCCTCTCAAATTAGGTCATTATACCACATAATCTTTAAGCTATCTCCCCACTAACTATATATTGAATATGGCCTTGTTTTTGTCTTCAGAATTTCTTTTTTTATAAAAAAAATTTTATTATGATATATTTGTTACACAGGAGGGGATTCATAGTGACAATGCCGATTAGGCTTATATTGTACATTTGTTAGATCACCCCCATCCTTTCTCCCCCTCAACCACCTCCCCACCCACTTAAAGCAGTTGCAAGAATTTTGCTCTTTGTTGTATATGAAGTCCATATCCTCTCATCATAATTTCCTTCATTCATCCTCCCCTATCCCACTAGGACACACACACACACACTGCACCTATAGTAAGGTAGCTTACAGTTTCCCCTTGGTATTCATGGGCATTGGTTCCAAAATCTAAAGATGCTGGAGTCTTATATTAAATGTTTGTAATAGTCGATGGGCATCCTTTCATATACTTTAAATCATCTCTACATTGCCTACAATACCTAAATACAATGTAAATAGTTGTTACTGTGTGGTTTAGGTAATTGTAACAAGAAAAACGTCTGTATATGTTCAGTACGGCACTTTAAAAAAAATTTTTGGTTAGTAGTTTATTGAATCCGCAGCTGTAGAACCCACTAATACAACTGTATTGTGTTTGGATTAGACATATGTACCAAATATGCTAAAAGAAAAGTAACCTTTTATTTTGGTTCTCAGCTAATACCTTAAATAATGGCCTAATAATGTAAGGAGATTTTAACATGCAGCTTGAGGTGCTATGCTGAAGCTACAGAGTGTAGCACCAAAATAAATGTTGTGTCAATTAAACCTGAATTCTGTACAGAAAAAAACAAAATGCATGAATGTCTTAGGCCTAGTCAAAACATGAAAATTATATACAAAAGTTTTCTGTTTTAGAATGTGGTATTTATGATCTCTTGATTTTTTTTATTTTATTATTACACATTTATTGTTAGAAACTTACTTTAATTTATATGTATGCATGTCTCCACATTTCTCATACTATGTACAGAGCTACTAGAGATACAAAATAGCTCCTGTAAATTATGCTCTTTTTTCATAGGTGCTGTTTCTCATTTTGTCTTCATATTATCTCTGAGAGTCATAGATACCTAATAGCCCTGGCAAAACTAAAACTAAAATTCAGAAGCACTTAATTCCAAGCCTAATGTATTTTTTTCTATGCTATAATAAGTACCTATTATTTTTTAGTACTTAATAAATCACCTTTTCTAAAATTAGCAGTAAACTATGAAGCAAAATATATCGGTTAATATAAAAATGTTGGTTTTGATCATTTTGATTGTACCAGAAATAAACATTTATTATAAAAAAATTTGAAGAGCACAGAGAAAAGAATTATCCATAATCCATATCCCACAGACCACCACGGTTAACATCTGAGAATAATTCTTTCCACTCTTTCTTCTACATGTATTTGTTTACATTGCTGTAATCTTACTGTATGTATAATTTTGTCTCATCAACATGAAGAAATAAATGATTTATTAGTACATAATAGTTTTATTAGTAATAATATTGGAATTCTCTACTTGACATTCCCTCCCAACTCTTGGTAATTGCTAGTATTATCATGCAGCCTAAAACAACGTGCGTTTCTCAGTGAGGGCAGTCGTATCACTGATGACCTTTCCTGTTTCCTGTTTGTATTGTAGTGCTGTCCATGCTCCCAACACTGAGAGAGGCCTTAATGCAGCAACTTAATTCTGAGAGCCTTACAGCTCTGCTAAAAAACAGGTAAATACAAATTTCAGCATTTTTTATGAACTGCATTCATAGTTTATAAAATGAACTACAATACTTTTCAAAAGTCTTTGCTTCCTTATTTTTCTTTTTAATTAAAGCTTATGATATGTAGGCACAGTATCTAAATAAATGAGTGATGTAAGTAAATGAATATACCACTAAACCTATCTTTTATTTTGTTAATTTATTTACACTTTACCTCATTACACAAATCATTTAGAGCAACAATATATTTATGTATTTTTCATAAAATTGGTTTATATCATTTTGACATTATTCAGAAATTTAATTAAATATTATGCTATTTAAAGTGCTTGCAGTACAATAAAGCATGTTAACATACATTTTAATAGATAAGACACATGAATTTACATTATAAATTCTAACACGAATACAAATCTGACATGAACATACAATACTGATCATTTCCACTTCCATGATGCTTTCACAATGCACATTCACAGGTATGATCTCATATATGACATACAGTGTGCTTTGGGGTATTGTAAATTAGTATGAGTCTGTGCTGGCTTGAGACTTCTAGAAGATAGGAATGGGGATGGTTTCCCTAAGTAAATTTTATGTGCTGGGTTGTGTAAGAGTGTGTGTGTGTGTGTGTGTGTTGCTAGGGATAGAACCCAGGGCCTCAGCATGCTAAACATTTATTTTGCCACTGAGCTCCGTCCCCAGCACTGTATTTTAATCATTCTAGTCTTATTGAAATATTTATTGCCTTATAATCACCCTCCAATAACCAGGGAGAAAGAAGTGCTATTTCCAAAGTCTCTCTATGCCAAGCCCCATGCTAGGTGCCTTCCATATACCCATGCTCCCATTTAAATTTCACAGTATCCCTGTGGGGCATATGTTTAGTACTCAGTACTCATACAATTTAAATAATTAGCTGGAAATTTTATGCCAATTTTTTTTCTTTTTTCTTTTGCAGTATTAGAGATTGAACCCAGGGCCTCACATATGCTAGGCAAGGCTTTACCACTAAGCTACATTCTCAGCCCTCTTCAAAATATTTTCCATATTAAAAGAATACTTCCAAAGTAACAATGGATTTGTATAGGAACTTTTTATCTGGTTAAAGTATAATACCAGTGACAAGGGGTTTTCACTCCATGAATTTCATTATCCTTAGAGGTAGACTGGCTTTAATCCCTGCTTACAGAAGTAAGGTTTAATTTAATTAGTTTGTATAATTATATGAAGAAGATATGTATGAGCAATTGCACACAGTGAAATAAATGTCTAGTTACTATGTATGTATGTGTAAGTAGAAGATCAGAAAGAAATAGATTTTAATTGTCTTAAGTTTTAGTCTTACTGAGGAGGTAATACAAATGAAGTAAGTAAATTGCACTTCTATAAAAGCAACATAACAGCAGATATAAACAACATGGAGGCATTCTTCCTTCCTGGTGAATCTGTTTTCTGCAAGGCCCTAGTTTCCTAGTGTTTTGGGGATTCAATTAAGATAGCAGCTAGTGGTGTAGCCCAGTAGGAGAGGCTCTCAGTTTAATCTCCAGCATTCCCCCACCCCCCAAGAAAGAAGTAAAGTCCTTTTTGGCCTTGATATTTGACAGCTAAAGGAGAAAGTATACTAAATAAATTATTATAATTAACAAACATGTTAGTGCCATGGTCTAAAAAAAAAGGAAAAAGTTGACGCATATGAGAAAAGGATTAATTTTGATGGATAATTCTGGACAACTTTAAAGAAAAAATGGGATTCTTCTTTTTTTTACTCAGTATACAAAGAGGAGAATTTCTTAAATTCCAAAGGTTAAGATGGGTCACAGTTTACTCAGACTGTTTTATCTCAATTTTATTTTTCCTTCCTTTTCTTTTGATTAGAAATTACTGTTTTCCAATTTGAGGGGAATTATACCCATTTGAAAAACTTTTACATTAAAGGGGCTTAAGCCAGTACAAAGTGTGATTAAAGAGGCCTCCAATCTCATGATATTAGTACTCCGTAAACTCTGGTCTCCTATAAACCTATCAAGTAAGTTAATTTTCTCTTTAAAATTTTGATAATAACTAATCGGAAAGAAAGAAATATGTGACTTGATAGCTTTATTTTGTCAATTTATAACAAACAACTATCACTGTTTTCAGTATTTGGCACCCTCTCTAAAGACTGACAAAGGCAATAAAGTTTTGATGGCAAAGACCTTAAACAACCCTCATCACAAGATGCATAGAATACCTTGCAAAGACTGGTTTCATTCTTAACCAGATATTTTAGGGACACTAAGAAGTCTAGTTGTATTTAGTGTGTAGATTTCCTCCACATAAATCATTTGAAAAGAATCTGCCTAGAAAGTATTTTCCCCTTTCCTTCTACACAGATTTGGAATCAGAGTTTCTTAAAAATATGTTTGTTATAACCACGTAACCACACTCTCAGCCCTGAAGTCAATATTTTTAAATCTACTTTTAAAGCCTATTTATGGTGACTGTCAACACAAAGACTACTGGGTGGTTGTTACTCTGTCCTCTCCCAACAGTTACCCCAAATAAAATACAGTTTTAGAAAATACAGTTTTCATTGTCAAATTGGAGGGGGGTCACTGTTTTCTTATTTCACACTGAAATTTTTCTGAAGTGACAAAAGAATAAGTAGTTTATTTGCATTGAAATACCTCCCCTTCAATTATAGCCAATTCTCAATTTAATCAGAATAAATATGGTACTCATTTGCAGAGTACTTACATAGCATGTGTAAGGCCCTGGATTTGATCTCCAGCAACACACACACACACACACACACACACACACACACACATTAAATAAATATGGCATTCCAGCCTGAAGCATGAACGTTAGAGCAGATTAAGGCCGTAGCCTGGGTGTGGTGGCTCACACCTGTAATCCAGCACTTAGAATGCTGAGGCAGGAGAATATCAAGTCTGAGTCCAGCATGAACCACATAGTCTCAAAAACAACAAAAAAGTCTGCAGGGCTACGGCCATAGGGGTGCTCTACTTGATATATCTTCTGAGCCTGCCCCATCTAGGGAGAGCTGATTAAAGCTATAGAGTCTGTCGTTGTCAGAGAAAGATGAGAAACTAGTAATGTCCCAAATTTTCTTATTTAAGTACAAATTTATATCTAAATCTAATAATAAACAACAGCAGAGTATATTTTGTCTTTGTGGTTTTTTATTTTATAGTCATTTATTTTTGTTGTGTTTTGTAAGAATATTTGTCAGTGACAAATTAGAAAGAAAAAGCACTCATTACATCCACGTAATACAGCTGTATAGTCAAGTACTATGTTCAACTTAAAATACTTCTTAAAAGATTACTATTATACATATATTACCACAGAATAATCTCCATTATATATTGCTATATTATTTTAAAGTAAATAAAAATTGTGTAATCTCTTACCATTTATTTAAGGAGTAGCTATGAGTATGTTGAATAATACATATTTTTGCTTATATAAACAGTGGAAATTTAAAGCATATTTTTAGTAGTCACCTATGAATATGGAAGAATATAAAGGGGATAGAAGCATACTTTTTTAATATTCTGTGTTGTATAAATTTGACCTTGAAACTATATAAATGCTTTACATAATTAGAAGACTATAATGATTAAGACTATATGGAATATATATATATATGGAAATTTGAGTTCATACTTATATATACTCCTCTGACACACAGAATTGAAAAAACAAAACTTGAAGTATTATTATTGCCATTTTAAAGCTACCATACACGGAGTGAGAAATGAAACAACTTAATTATATTGGTTTCACTGACTTCTAGTATGGGCAAAATCAATGAAATTTAAGTTAAAAACCCTGTGATCCTAATTTTGGACTGATACTATCAGTGTGAACTTTTGGCGTATTTTATCTTAAATATTTGTACATATAAATACATATTTACCAGATTTTTCCCTGTCTCTCTTTGCCAACTTTATTAGTCAGCCTCCTCTTACTATAACAAAATACCTAAGATAATTTATAAAGACAAAAGTGTTATTTTCATTCACAGTTTTGGACGTTCCAGTCCAAAATCAGGTAGAACTGTTGCATTGGGTCTCTTGGTGGTACTGTCAGATGGTAATGGCAGAAAGCCCATGGTGGAGCAAACTGTTCATCTCAAGATCAAGAAGCAAAAAAAGAGTAATACTGTGTGGGTTAGCATCCTACAATCCCCTTTGAGGACACAACCCCAGTAACCTTAGGACTTCTCTCTCGGCCCCACCTCCTAAAGATTCTACCACCTCTCAACAGGGCTACCTAAGGTACCAAGCCTTTAATATATAAAGCTGGGGGTATGGGGACGACACTGAATCATACCATAGCATCAGCTTAGTCCTCTGAAAAGGATTAGAAATAATGACCTACCCAATAGCAATAAACACCCTTAATGAAAGGTCTCTGGCATTTCCCACAAAAGGGAAGCTATCAAAGACTGATGGGACAATGTCAGAAATATTCAGGAAACAATCAAAATAGCCCTCCAGTGGTCAAAGCTGGGCACTGTGAACATCAATTGGGATAATAGTGCAGTGTATTATGTATCAAACACACATGTAAAGCCATGTGTTTGTAAAACAAGACAAACATTACTTACCTTTGAATGGTTACAGGATCCTCTTCAATATTTGTAAAATGGCTAATAAGGGAAAGAAAACATTTTTTTGTGATTTCCTTTATGGTTTTCTAGTACATGTATGTATACAAATGTTCAGAAAGAGGGAAAAAGACTGGAAAAATACATACAAATGCAAGTGGTCTCAATCATTGGTTACTTGAATTATAATTTTTTATTTTGTGGACTTTGTTTTCTCCAGTATTCCTGGATTTTTCATTTTAAAAAATTAAATATGTATCTATATAGTTCAAAGCCTGTTAGCTTATCTAGATTACTATTTTCATATCTTTCTGATTTTTTTTTCCTTTAGGCCTTCAAACAAGCTAGAAATATGGGAGGATCTAAAGATAATAAGTAAGCCTACATATTCTGGGTGACAGTACATCCTTAAATTATTTATAAAGGGAAATGTTTATACCTTATGTGAATGACTCTTCTTACCTGCTTCATAAAGTTTTCAGGATTAAATATAATATTACCCATAAAACAAGTAGATCAATATCTAGTCATAGAAAATACTCAGCGAATGTTGTTGGTGGTTACTCTTATTGTTATTATTGTTCTTCTGATAATAATATGAAAAATTGTCCTATATTACATATGTCTATGTTAGGTACTGATATCTGTAACATATTTGAAACAAAGTTTGTATACCAATCCATATCTTTACTCTGATATGCTGTGTGCAAACTTTCCCTAGAGCCTTTATGTCTGTCTCTGTCTCAAACCTTCATACTAGTAATTATTTCTGTTTTCCCATACATTCAACTAATTCTTATCAACTAAATGATGCTTAAGTCTTGCACACTTGAAAATGAATTAAACTTCTCTAGTATCCTATATTTCCTTTCAGCTATTGTACTTTCACATTCCCAGTGATCAAAAATTTCTACATTCCCTTTCTTCACTTCTTCACTCCCACTTATTCTTTGGCACAGTATAGCCTGGCTTCTTTGCTTCCATCTAAACCCAAGCAAACTTCACAAGCATCAGTGATAACTTTTGTATTTCTAAATCCACTGGCACGTTTTCCTGCTACTAGACCTCTTGGCAGCAGTCTCAACCTCTGCCCTCTCCTCTGTCTTGAATACTCTGTGCTCTGCTGCAAAGCCTAGTCATCTGGGTTTTCTGTATGGTTCCATACCTTCCTATAGCCCATTGCTGGACTTCTGCTCCTTAGCCCACCACTGAAGACTAGAGTTCTTCTGTGCTCAGCCCTCTTCTCTGAACTCTAAGCTACTCCCTAGACAATTCAGACTTCTGAGGCTGTAACTCCATCCTTCCTTGTTTTCTGGTTTTGTTCTGTTTTTTTGTTTTTGTGATTTTTGGGATGTTCACACAGTAGATACACACACTACCACTGCGTTAATCCTCAGCCCCTTTGTTTACCTTTCTAAGATTGTAACATATAACGTTTTCATCCAACACACTTTTATTGGTATCATCAATTAAGAGATGATACCTAAGTTATTCTAAACAAATTGTAATGACATAGAGTATGAAGTATTTTGAATTGATATATTTTTGTACTTGATTTAGTTACAAATACATTTTTCAGAGTCATCCTATAAAAAAATATGAATGGAACCATTCATAGGAATGGTTCGTGATTTTACAAATTTGTTAGTGTTTTATTAACAATAGTAAAGGTCTCTTTCTCTCTGAAGGTTTCACAAGAAGTATCGTGGCTGTATACAGTACTTGTATGCTGGTGGTTCTTTTGAGAGTCCAATTAAACATAATTGGTGGATATATTTATCTGGATAATGCAGCAGTTGGCAAAAATGGCTCTGTAAGTTTAATAGACTGGAATATATGTTGCCCTTTCTCTCAGGAGGTTCCAAATTTAAGTGAGTTTCATTTATTTTGGTAAGTTTCTGTAGAATAAATGCCTTTATATTTCATGAGATTATAAACCTTTTAGCATTATGAATATTTTTCATCTTTTGGAAGTAGACTTTTAGTACATAAAGAATATTTTTCCTATCATTGCAGAGCCTAAAAATCTTAGCTCAGATTATATTGAAAATATTATTTCTTCACTAATTTAAAAAGCTAAACAATTTAACCTTATGTCTGTTTTTTGTAGACAGTTCTTGCTCCCCCAGATGTCCAACAACAATATTTATCAAGTATTCAGCACCTCCTTGGAGATGGTAATATGCTAATTTATGACCTGTGCACTTAGTTCATTTATTTGTATCACTGAGGAATTTCTTAAGTGAACATGGCTTTTAATCCTGTTTTTCCTTTAATAGGCCTGACAGAATTGATCACTGTCATTAAACAAGCTGTGCAGAAGATTTTAGGAAGGTAAGGCAATTTCTTTGACTTTTCTGACTTCCTGATTCTGGTGAATAAAAAGAAAATTAGAATTGTTCTAGTGAAGGGGACTGTTTGACAAATGGTGCTTTGTAAAATTCTTTGTAATCTAATACAAATATCAACCTGGGTAGTATTTCTAGAATACCCTTCCTTCATCAGTGTCAACCTTTTGATACTGGGGAGAAAGTTATAGTATTTCATTATTTATTGATTGATTTCCAAACAAATCAGAATTATTTGGGTTAAGAGATTTAAAACCTCCTTTAAAATCTGCCTCTGAGGCTTTTAAATCCCAGCTATAATAATAATATGTATGGTTCCAATTGGAATTTTCTTATGAAATCTGCAGCAGAGTTTTTCTTAGCTCTGTAATGCCCTTCCCTGGTGACTGGTTTCTCAGCTCATTCTAGTCCAGCAACAGTTTCAGGTTTGACCAGATGAAGCAGGATTGCAGATAAGTAGCCTGTTAAGAAAACTGTGCTGCCTAGATGTGCTGCCTAGTTTCAGTCTATCTCGATTCTATTCTTTTTTTTTTTTTTCTGTTTCTAGTGTTTCTCTTAAACATTCTTTGTCCCTTTTGGACTTGGAGCAAAAGCTGAAAGAAATCAGAGCCCTCGTTGAGCAGCATCAATCTTCTGCTTGGATTAATAAGGATGGATCCAAATCTTTATTATGTCATTATATGATGCCAGATGAAGAGACTCCATTAGCAGTTCAGGTGCTTAACTCATAACCATTCAAACCAGTTGTTCTGTGTTTCTAAATTTGTTACTCTTGAAATTTAGATTTCTGACTGTCTTTAAAATTCGTGCTTAAAGGATATGTATTTCAATAATTTAAATAAGATCTTGTTAATTTAGAAAAAAACGTAAATACAACTGGCTTCCAGGTAAAATCATTTACAATTTTAGATATTTAGCAAGTTTTTATTGAGTAGTTTGTGTCAGACACTGACACATGCTGGGGCTATAAGATAAGGAAGTCACACTCACGCGCTTGGGGCCTCACTTTAATGTGAGTAGCGCTGTTGTGTAAGAGCAAGTCACAGAACCTGGGACAGAATCGTGTTGGGGCAAGAACCTGAAGAGCTGTGCATGCCAGGGCAGGAGTCTGAACTTCTATTTGTAGGCATAGATTTTACTACACTCGCATTTGCTTTTAAAAATAAATATGAGCAGTAGGAAAATGACCTGAAGGAAGTTATAGTCATCCAGTTGAGAAACAAAGAAGGCCGAACCTAGTGATTATCAATTCTGGTGTTGCTACATGCTGGTGTCTCCAAAGCCTTTGTTATATAAGTTATTCATTGATTAAGAGCAATAAAAATGCCAAAGATTACAGATAATGTAGCTCACTTTTACATTAGAATTTTTTCATTTATAAGCTGAATTAAACTCATTCTTTGTCATTGGGAGAGAACTGGTCTCCCTTAACAACCCAAGAAGCCTTTGAACAGAGAGGCCTCTATGCCATACTTTGCAGGGAAGCCCGGTTGACTACAATTCCATGTTTTTATTGCCTGCAGGTTTGGCCTTCCCTTAGAGACTCCAAAGAGGCATTTTGGGTGCTGAGAGATACTACATTCATGAGTAGGCAAAAGAAAAAGAAAAAAGTTGCAACACATTTAAGGCAGTCCTGTGACTTGAAGGATGGAGACTAAACTGAACAAGGAGGACAGATGGGACAGAATTAATGAAAGAAACCATAAAAAATAGGATCTCAAGGAAATGTAGTAAGAAAATTTGAACTATGAAACATTTTCCAAATTTTAAGATTCAATAGTAGAACTAAAAAGAAAATGATTCAAAGGAATGATTAAGAGAGGAATGACAGACCACATCTTACACCTGAAACTTCAGATTGAAAGGACACACAGACTACTAGATTGATGAAAAAGACATGCACACATACATATATCCTGAAAGAAAAAAAGACAGATCTCTACATTCTTAAAACCAATTTTTTTCTTTGTCTATATATGCTAGAATTCTATCAAATAAGCAAAGACCTTACAACATATACTTTGATTTACATTTTAAATACTATTTACCTGTGTGCATTACCTTCACAGGCTTTTTTTTAGTTTGATACTTTTTGATTGTTGATAGAGCATAAACTTTTAGGTTTCCTGAACTCTTGAGTTTCTGCATGTGATTAATTTCTTCATGAGCCCAGGGCTAATATTTGAAACTCTAAAATATGGCACTTTAATTTTATAGGCCTGTGGTCTTTCTCCCAGAGACATTACCACAATTAAACTTCTTAATGAAACAAGAGACATGTTGGAAAGGTATGTAGACTACATGTAACAAGGAAAATGTGTTTACATTTAGATGTACTTGCGTCCATTTTTTAGTGTTTCTTGAACAACATACTCAACATATTAACTGTGTTAAAATTGAATTTTGGATCTATCCTCCTGCCTCAAGAAGGATTTCCTGCCTAAAGTGAAGGGAAGCAGGAATTTTTTTAAAAAGATTCCCAACCTACTTCCCAAGATCTTCATATATTAGCTGAGGAGTTGGAAGGTAGTTAATATTTATATTTTTTAAAAAGCTCTCTATGGTAATTCTAGTATATGCTATGTATACTTGTAAATGGTCAACAACCAGCTCTGCAAAAAAAAAAAAAGTAAAATTAAATTAAAACACCAGAAACTGAAACTCAGGCTCCCAGCTTGAAGTCATTGAATGACTTCATGACCCCGTTTGGGTTGGTGGGAACAGCTGCTCTTGCGAGCCACCACTAGGCGGCTCCAGCCAGACCTCAAGTGTGCACACTCACGTGCACACACTTGTGTATGGACATGTGCTCAGGCTCCAGCTGAAGAACTACTTGCCCACCCTAAACCTGTTAGGATAGACTTTGTGTTGTTGTTTATTTGTTTGAGACTGGCTTGCTATATAGCCCAGGCTGGCCTCGAATTCATAATCCTCCTGCCCAAGCCTCTCGAGTGCTGGGATTAGAGGTATGCACCACCACACCCAGCTCCTAAAATCTTAGAGTGATAAAAATTTCACTTCTTCTCAACTGTTACTATTTTGAAGCACCCAAAAGAGAGGCAGTGTTTAAAAAACACTAGACTACATATATTTGAAGACCACATGACTTACATTTAAGGTTGCCTTTTTTGTTCATTTGCTGTTTAACTTTGGCTATGCCACTTAAACTCTTTGAGGTAACTTTATAATTAAAAAATGTAAGTAGTACTAACAGTCCTATCTACTATTTTAAGTGATAAAAATATCAAAATCCCTTTTTAATCAAACACACTGTATACCTTCTTGGGATAATGTAAGACCGTTTCCTCTCGTTCTGTTTTCTGAGGAAATGATATCTGCTTCCAATAATCTCCCATGATCTGGAAGGCAGTCAGCACTTTTCAGTTAACTAAGCTCTGAGTCCAGTGTCAGAATTCATCAGGTTCTAGTCCTTTGTTTTCTATGGTAGCCATCTCTTTTCTTTTTCTATTCAGATTTTTACCAGATCACTCCAGAGCTGAGATCATCAGTGATCTTTTCAAATCCATGGAATACTTAGTGCTCATCCATTTGTCCTTCTCTGGTAGTTGGCACTATTCATGAAGACTTTCTTTTTTTCTTCATTTACTTTTTTCCTTTATTGTTGTGATGGGTGGGAGTACATTGTGGCATTTACACAGGTTCTTACAATGTATCAAATATATCATATATGAATTCATCTCCTCAACCATTCTCCTTAAATCCTTTTCTCACATAGCTTCTATAACAATATAACAGCCTACTTTCTTTCTTAATTCTCAGGTCATTTCTTCTTAGGGTCTTCTAACTCTATCTCTCCTTTAAACATTTGTGTATCCCAGGGAATTGCTCTGTTTTATCCTCAGCTCTCCCAAGCAATTGTATATACTCTCACTGCTTTCTCCTATCTGTATACTAATGATTCCCAAATTTACTGCCCTAGACCTCTATAAGGGGTAATTCTGATATGACTCCTATGTGCTAGTAAATGCATAACAAGCAGCTGTGCAGAAAGGAACTGGTCAGGGTTTAAATTTCCACATCTCAATAATAGGAATAATTTATTCATTTGCCTCATTGAATTATTCATCAAATATTTCTTGACCATCTTTGGTATGTTACTATTTTAGATACTAGGTCTTCACCCCTCCTGGGACTTATATTTTAATGGAAGAAAAACAATAAATTAAAAAATTTAATATAATCTAACTTTATTGATGAAACAAGCCAGTTAAGAGGGTAGAGAGTTGCTGGGCACCTGTGGCTCCTAGCTACTCAAGGAGGATCATTGTTTGAGGGCAACCCAGGCAAAAACTTTGTGAGACTTCAGATTAACAGAAAAAGCTGGGTGTGACCACCACACCTCTTGTCCCAGCTATTGTAGGAAGCATAAATAGGAGAGGATTTTGTTGTAGAGTGACCCAGGCAAAAAAGCAAGACCCTATCTCAAAAAATAACCTGAGCAAAAAGGGCTGAGAGCATGACTCAAGTGTTAGAATACCTGCCTAGCAAGTACAAAACCCTGAGTTTAAACCCCAGTACTGCCAAAAACAAACAAACAAAAAAAGCTAGAGAGTGAACAGGGATGCTGTTTTTGATAGGTTAATCAGAAAAGGCCTCTCTGAGAAGATGTTATTTGAGCAGAAACGTGAATGCACTGTGAACGTGAACTTACAATCAGGAAGAATGCAGTTTGAAGTACAAGTGTAGAGATCCTAATGTTGGGCTTGATCAAGGGACAGCAAGGCAGCCAGTGCTGCTGGAGCACAGTGATGGGGAGACGAGGTTGGAGAAATGGGCAGAGCCTAGTGTGTGGTGGGCCTTGTGATCCTTGGTAAGGCACTCATATGTGTGTGGTTTGTGATCTCTTTTTATTTTTTCATTTTTGTCATTACTTATTTAGTGTTAGAAATTTTTGTGGTTTGTCTCTTCAGTTATTTTTCTTAGACTATGTGTAGAGCAATAAGGTAATACCAATAAATTACATGTAAACTTTGCAGGAATTTGTTTTTAATTCATTATTTGGAAAAGTCAAAAAGTGGAAACAATGGAGATGCCTATTAACTAGTAAATGGATAAATAAAATATATATTTATATGATATAATCATATCTGGCAATACAAAGGAACAAACTATTGATACATGCTGCAGCATTGATCAGCCTTGAAAACATTAGATTAAGTGAAAGAAGCCAGACCCAAAAGACCACATAGTGTATCACTCTACTTCTGTGAAATGACCAGAAAACTACAGAGACAGGAAGTAGATTAGTGGTTACCTGCAGTCAGGAGTGGGACAATGATTGTCTGAATGGTGCATAAAAGGTGAAGAAAATGTTCTGAATCGAAATTCAATGATATTTTCACAATGAGGTAAATTTACTAGAAATCATTGACTTGTACATTTAAAAAGGGCGAATTTTATGAAATCTAAGATCTTACTTAATAAGTTATTAAGATGCTTTTTAGAAGCGAAAACTAAGGAGAAAGGTAGATAAACACACACACACTCTATGATTTAAAAAACTGAACTTTGCTATGTATTTCCTAACTTCATACCACTCTTGTATATTATTCTTGATACCATAGTTTTTATAAGGTACTACCGTAATATAAGAAAAGGAGTCTGAACTTTAGAATTAAAAAGGCTTGGGTTGAGTTGGTGACATGGTTCCAGTGATAGAGTGCTTGCCTAGCATGTGTGAGGCTCTGGGTTTAATACCTAGTACCTCAAAAAATAAATAAAATGGCTTGGGCTCAAGTTTGAGCTCCCCAACTTTACTAATTACAAATCTTTGAGCATGTTTCTTCATCTCTCAAGTATCTTTCTCATTTGTTCATTCTACTAATATTTTCTGGGATATCCTGATGCAGTATGTAAATTTTTTTTAAATCTGTCACTGTTAGGGGTTTCAAGAGGTTCCTCAGGAGAGGTAATACTAGTATTGATTTTTTAAAAAAAAATACATTGTACAAAATGCTGACCAATGTAAGAAAATGTAGGGATATGGATGAATATCCTCATTGTGGTGTGCTAAATAATAAGCTCATTTCATGCTTAATTTTGAAAAAGTGGCTCCTTAATACATTTTTACAGTGTTTTAAGCTGTGAAAACTAGATTATAACTAGAAATGTTGTTAGCTTTCAAAGTTAGTCACATTACTATTGAACTTGTTTTCTTTTTCATTGGTAATCTAAAAAATAACATACACTTCTTATTTTTATGTAGTCCAGATTTTAGTACAGTTTTGAATACCTGTTTAAACAGAGGTTTCAGTAGGCTTCTTGACAACATGGCTGAATTCTTTAGACCTACTGAGCAGGACCTCCAACATGGTAACTCCATGAATAGGTAAGATAATGTATAAAAATAGTATCATTAACTAATAAATACTCTTCAAAAATAGGATTTTAGATGTGTATTGTTGTTGTTCCTGATGAAAAGAAACCCTAGATAATAAATTTGAGTGCCTCAGTTTTCAACAAATAAAGCTCTTTTAAACCAATGACTTACTCATTAGCAGGAGTTCCTTCTGAATTCAGTATTAAAATTTCATTTTTTCCAAGACTTTGCCACAATATGTAGTACTTAAGTTGCAAAACTGCCTTTCCATTAAGCCAAATTCCAATTCTTATTCTTTTAAACTCTTTAGAATATAAAACTGATAATATACTTAAATTTTGATGTGTTCTACATTATTCCAGTTTTGCAAGCTCTTGTTGGCTTACATAGTTCAGTCCTGTGGTCATTATAATAACTAGGCAATCTTGTGTGTATTCTCTTTAGGTGAATTACCTCCTTATAGTTATAACATATTAGAATTATCTTGTTATAATTATCTCTAAAAATACCTAAATATATTTTTGTCTTTATAGGATTGGAAATACTTAGTTGGTTCAAGTAGTAATGTTTGCTAGTCATAATTATTAATAAGTAATGGACTTGTTGCCAGAGGTAGCTTGGGGTTTTATTATATCTTTATCACCTCAAAATGAACACCTTTAATCTTATAATAGAAGCTCCACCCTTTGAGGACCTTTGTTTTGTAGCTTTTTATGTAACACTCAGAAAATAATGGTTACTAAATCAATGTAAGTCAATGACTGGCTATAAACTAATTAAACTTTGAGTAAACAGTGACTTATATACAATGTGTATGTATAATTTTCAGTTTCTTAAATACATATGGCAAGACATTTTGGACCCTTTATTGTGCAGAAAAGAATAATTTGCTATTAACATTGAGCACTTTGAAGCTATTTGAATATGACCCTAAAATCTTTTTACCAGCTCTTTTAAGTTTTATAAAAACAAATTCTGTTCAAGACCAATCATATATACTGCCTAAAATAAGGTACTTCAGTTATTAAAATTTCACTATAATCAGTATCTAGGAAGTTAATAGTTATTTTCCCAGTGGTAATAAAAATTGAAATAGTTGTTTTAATGTGAACAAATGTTTGATCTTATGTACCTAAGAATTATAAGTTATATTACAATTGCATCAGCCCTGGATAGACTGCCTTTTCTGAGCTCCTCTAGTACTTATGGTTTGATTTTCATGTGCAACCTACCCATGCCACTTTCAACTGAAGTTTTATTCCTCAGTTACATCTTGAATCTTCTCTCAAAGTCATTCGCTATCTTATGCCCTTTCATATCTCTTTACACACATTAGGTACTCATTAGATATTTCCCACCTAAGTTTTTCTGTTTTGTATCAATAGCCAACTTCATGTTCCATATTCAACACTTTTAGAAACAGTTCCATCATAATTCCTGTCATCACTATTATTTGGTATGTTGTGGAAGTTCTAGTTATCATAAGTCAAGAAAAAAGATTTTCAACTATTGGCAAAGATATAAAATATTATTATTGATGTTTACTACAACTGATAATCCAGACCACTGAAAATGATATAAACCAATAAAGACTTAGGTCTTATATGTAGATGCTGTATATATTATATATGTATATATTATTATATATAATGAATATTTATAAATCAAAAGTTTTTCTATCACCAGTAATAATCCAATACAAAATATAATGGATAAAGATAAAACCTAAAAGAAAAACTTACAGACTTAAAGTATGGATATAGATGGAAAAATACTAAGTGGAATGGAATCCAGAAATACATAGCAACCATATTTGCAGCCAGTATTTTTCTGTGTGCTGGTATGATAAGTATTTTTTCAGAGCATTGCTCATAGAATTCTTGAAATAACTTTAGAAAATAAGTGCTGATATTTTCCAAGTGAGAAGAATATGACAAAAATTAAATAACTTCAAGTCAAAAAGCTAGGAATTGGTAAAGCCACGTGTTCAATAACTTCTATTTAATATCAGAGCTTAGAATTTTAATTATTCTACAGCACTATGACTAATTAGGGTTTATTTTAAGAATGCAAGGAGGACTAACACATTAGGAAAGTTATTACAGTAAACTGTAGCATTAATAAATTAGCAGGTCAAAAAGCATCATCTTCAGTATTGCTGAAAACATATTCAGTAAGACAACATTTACTATTGACAAACCTCTTATACATGAAAATCATTTTATAAAATACAATAATATTTGAACTCTAAGGTAAATATACTTATTGGTGGTAAAACACCAGAATAATTTCTACTAAGCTCAGAAACAATATTCATTCAAAATGTCCCTATTGATATATTTGCTCAGCATCATTTTTTTTATCCTTATTAACATAGTAAGGATAAGACTTGATGAGTTTTGAAGACAAATTCTAAGAAAGTCACTGATATTTTTCTATATTTATCTTGAAAACAGATGACTTATTGAATGTTATTATTCTAATAAACCTAATCAACTCTTGATTTTCTAAGTTAAATTCATGCTATCTTTAAAATGGTATCAGTTTTGGAAAAGGAGAGAAAACTATTGTTATATAAAGGTGACATAATTTTATACTTAGAAACCCAAGAGAAGCAACTAAAAATTGTAAAATTAACCTCCTAAAATTATCAATAAATCTAGTCAAAGAACTATCAAACCCCACTTTTGGACTGCAGAGTGGTTGCTTTGTTGATATTAAACTTGACAAATGACAGTAAAGGTGATCTGGACACATAATGGTCTGAGAATTAAGAGACATACAGGCATACGCTACAATAAGATACCATTTTCACTTGCCAGACATCCAGAGGCTGAAGAAAATGACAGTGCTCCAGTGGAGCAGGAATTCCTGCATACTACTGGGAGGCAAAGGGTATTTTGCAATGTATAAACCTTTAAAGCATTCAGACTCTTGACCCAGTAAACACTGAAACTTACAAGCTGATCATAAAAAAATTGTGACAGATAGAAGGTGGATTACTACTATACAATCATTTTGAAAAAGCAGACAAATACTTTAATACTTATAAAAAGATGGAAAAGTGCTCATAAGAAAAAAGCAAAAGCAGTACACTTGGGGAGTTAAGAGTTTTGAGTTAAAACAAAAAAAAGCATGAATATATATATAAATTATCTGAAGAAACTTCATGAAGTCAATTATAGTTGTTATTTCTAGGTAGTATAATTTGAGTTTTTGTAAACATATTTCTATAAGTATTCTGCAATGTCTGTGTATCACTTTTTTAATTAAAATATTAAATGCCTGTAAAGTAATTTCAGAAAATAATTACTGTGCTGGTTTTTCAGTCTTTCCAGTGTCAGCCTGCCTTTAGCTAAGATAATTCCAATAGTAAATGGACAGATCCATTCAGTTTGCAGTGAAACACCTAGTCATTTTGTTCAGGTAAGAAGAGAGCTTGGGGATGTTATTGAAGACAAATTGTGTTCATGATGTGGACATGTTTTTTAACGTAAAAATCACATTCTACACTGTGATGTTCATTTAAAAAAAAAAAAAAGCCTGAATCCACATGTAGACTGTGGTAGAATGCCCCATGAACATAGTAATATTTGATGGCAAATTTATAAGTTTGGGAATTCCTTTCTCATGTCATAGACCAGTACCTGTTGAACCACATTTTAGTTCAGCTATATTGGAGAGGTCAGTTGCATTTACATAGCATTATGTTTTTCAGTAATAATTCTGTTCCTCACAGTTTGAGGAAAACTAGAAGTTTTTGTGGAGAAATAAAACATTTTAGTAGTTAATAAATATAGCTGTTAATGTGCATCAATAAACTGTTCACTAGAAGCTGCAAAGCAGTGACTTACTTAAATTTTTTCACTAGGTTATCTACACGACCATCTTTCTTCCCTTTGTAACACATCAAGTAAAACTGATGTTAGTAAAAGGATAACTTTGAATCCACACAATTTTTTTAGAGTCATTTTCAAACTTGGGAATTATTATAAGGAAAAAAGTACTTACAATGTTCCTCAACTGCAAACTCTTGCAGTCGTGTAAAGTGACAAGAGACTTTAAGGCCTAAATGGAAAGATGACTTTGTCTTAGGGTCCTTTGCCTCAGAAATGTAGTGTGTCCTGTATGCAGACGGGAGGATGAAGAGCACCCAGACTAAGAGCTGTATTTCTTCCATTCCTTGTAGTGTTACTGGCCTCTCCACATACATGTTTTCCTTCACTCTTCTCCTTAGTCTTCACTGTCATCCCTCTTACCCATAAGAGCAGGGCATTCACACTTCAGAAGAAATAATAAATAAGGCTGCTGGCATTTCACTGAATTTTAAAGCCTCACGTATATATCAGGGTGAGAAAAGCTCTGGCTTTTAAGGCTTTTTCTCCACTTCTGTAGGAGTCTGTCCATTTTAACAGATAAGTGAGAAATACAACCAAACATAAACATCATCAATGCTTAAGTAATTTTAGGTACTGTAATTTTAATTAAAAGCTACATAACCCATAACAAAAACAAATGATATCAGTCTAGTAAAAACACTACTGACATTCATGCATAATAAATTTTTAGTGTGATCAAATGTTAATTAAATTTATATTCTAGACCATTGATGGACAAAGCTTCCATCAGTTTTTTAAACCGTCATTTCTCTGAATTCAAATACAAAATGGTCTTCTAGTCTAGAATATTGTCATATGCTCTATTATTTCCCTTTGTCTTTTGTAAAGCCTGAGCCTTGGTTAGAATGTTAATTTATTTGAAATTCATCCTTTGGAATTACTGTACTACTTCAGTCACAGAGGGATCTAGGATATCCTCTTACAGGAATGCTCTAGAACAGGGTTGGCAAACTGCAAAGGGCTACACACAGATTGAGTATCTTTTACCTAAATGCTTGTGACCAGAGTGTTTTGGATTTCAGATTTTTGTTAGATTTTGGAATATTTGCATCTACAAAATGATATATGTAAACTCCGTAAGCTTAATGCTTTTTTGTAACTCAAAATTCAAAACACAAGCAGGGCACAGTGGAACACCTCTAGTCCCAGTTACTCAGGAAGTTGAGGCAGGAGATTGCAAGTTCAAGTTCAGCCTGGGCTACACAGTGAGAGACTGTCTTAAGAAACAAAATACATTTATCATTAAATAGAATCTGAACTACAAAGAAAAAAAAACCACCTGTTTAAATATAGCTGATGGCTAGTAATTTCATTATTCCAAAGAACATAAGCATAAATACGAACGCATGCCTGGAATTCAGGGACAACACTAGGTTATACTTTTATCTTCCAAATGATCCAGTGTGTGTGAATTTTCCTTTAGATTTTCATAGAAATCAAAGCATAAAATTTCCCCTCAAGTGTTGGGCCTCTAAAAGCATGTCCATAAATCCTGGTTGAAGAAACATTGGTAGAAAACTGTGTCATTGAACAGCCATACTGAATACTGAAATCATCCTATTCTCTGATGAGAGAATTTAGCCATGAACTGATTGGTATCAGGACTTTGTTACAAAGTTTACTTGGCTTTTCTGACCTGAGAAAACACAAGGGCCAAGTTCACTTCCCATGTCTCTGATGCTTACAAAGGCTTTCAGCTATGTCATGGACGTTTTCATTGTTCAGTAAAGCCTGTGGATAGACCCCTTCTCAGATTATGTCTACACATGCAGATAGTAAAACATAAATTTTTTAAATTAAGTTCACTTTCACATAATTTTTAAAGGAAACCAATATATACAGTTTTCAAAATACATTTAAAATCAAATTTTATGATATAGCAATATTGCTTCTGTATACATTATGTGACAAAATGTAATGGGAGTTATAATTTCCACAACAGTCATGTGATATAAAAAGTCTTATAGTTTCTCTTGAAGACAAATCACATGTCCTGCTTAATACCATTGCAGTTTGTTGCCTATGTTCATATTTAAATAAAATGTTAGATGTCAGTTAGAGTTAGTGGAAAATAAAAGTAACTTGTCCCCTTGTCTTTATATTCACAAATCTTTTGGAGGAGGTTAAGAACCTTTGCACTGAAGTCTGTAAGTGTTGTTTGTGTATATAAACTATTACATACTGCAGCTATGTAAATCATACATAAATATTGTTAGAGAAATATTTATAGCTCAACCATGCTATGTCAGTTTCCAGCAAAAAAACCGGATATTAGCCTTGTAGCTTTAGCTTGTAACATATTTTAATAGAAACTTATCTAGCATCTGATATACACAAAAATCCATATGAAGACGATTTTTCTAAGTCACACTTGAATACTGTACAGCACCATCTTTCATATAAGAAGCTAAACATACATTTTTTCCTAGGAATCTCATCACAAGAAAACATATTAATTTCCGGAAATAGTTTTTTCTTTGGCCTTAAGTTCCACAAAAACTTACAGTTAAAGTCTTTACTTGATTGCCAAAAAATGAAGTCAAAATTCCCTTACAATTTTTATCAAAAACTAATTGTTATTATTGTCTTCTTACTAGGATCTGTTGATGATGGAGCAAGTGAAAGACTTTGCTGCTAATGTA